TTGCCTGGGAACATGAGGAGCTCATTGCTTGGGGAGACCCATGCGTAGCGGGCAGCTGGGGCACTGGCATCGCAGTGGATGAGCAGCGGCTGGCCCACTTGCACCTCCAGGTGGACGTCTGACTGCTCCAGGCTAGGGGCTGGTGAGGAGCAGTTCTCAAAGACCTTGCTGTGGGTAAAAAATCGCACTCGAGAGGAGGGCACATCGAAAGCGATGCAGACGTGTTCCTCGAGGTAGTCACAAACAGAACTGAAGCCGCGCTGTCTCCAGCGGAGAAGCATGTGATAGAGGTTACAGCCACAGCGGATAGGATTGTTGTGCAGGTAAAGGCCGTTCTTGATGAAGGCAGGAAGGGCGACCACTTCACTCACAGGGATGCTGGCCAGCCGGTTGGTGGAGAGGTCCAGGACCCGGAGCTGCCCGGGGCTGAGTCCATGCAGGTCGTGGAAGGAGAATGTGGTGAGGCGGTTGCAGCTCAAGTACAGCCGGCTGAGTCTGCCCAGCCCCCGGAAGGCGCTGTGCTCCACAAAGCCAATGTGGTTGTTGTAGAGCAGCAGCTCCTCCAGCCCCGTGAGCCCCTCAAAGTCATGGTGGCCCACAACGTGGAGGCCATTGGAAGACAGGTCCAGACGGCGGAGTCCACTAGCATTGTGGAAAGTGCCCCGGCTCAGACTCCTCAGTTGGTTGTGGGACAGTCGAAGGATGTGCAGGCGGGGCAAGGCAGCCAGCCAACCAGGGTGGAGGTGGGGGAGGACGTTATAGCTGAGGTCCAGCACGGTGGTCATGACAGGTAGAGGCACAGGCACAACGTGGAGATTTCGGTTGGAACAGCTCAGCAGGTCTGAGGCACAGATGCACACCTTTGGGCAGCGGTGGAGGACGTGGGACACGTTGTCCTGGGAACCATGGGTGCCTGCCTCAAGCTGGGGCAGCTTCCCCAGCCACAGCCACAGCATACAGACCAATAGCAGAGGTGCCATGGTGGGGTGGGGGTGGGGGGCAGTTAACCCTCAGACAGCAGATCCCACCCCCACCCCAGTAGTTGTCCGAAGGGGTTCCTGGCAGCCTTCGAAGTGGGAAGGGAAACAAGTCCTCTAGGCACAGGCTTCCACAAGTTGGGAACAAAATTCCGTTTCAGGTAGGAAGGGACTAGCAAGCTAGATGTACTTATGAGACCCAGAAAACCCAGGAGAAGGGCGATCGCTTTGGGCAAAACCAGGCATCAGAGGGACATCAGCTGCTCCCTCATCTGAGTGCACCCAGCACTGGACAGTGCCATCCCATCCCCAGCCAGGAGGTGCTGAGCTCAGCCTTCACACAAGGGAATGGCCCCCACCCTGTTCCCCAGCATCATGCCAGCCTGACCGTCTGGTCCAGCCAGCCCCTTGGCCTCACCTCCTGGCCAGCCGCCCCCTCTCCAGGTAGGACCAGCCCCAGCTGGTGGGTGCAGGCTGTGATCCTTGCTCACACGCTCGGACTTAGTTCTCAGCCGTCTTAGTTGCTGCTCCTTGCTCTCTCTGGCTGTCTCTGGCTTGCTCAGTCTGTTGGTATTTACACTGGTGGCCCAGCTGGGAGCTGGGTAGGGTGAGGGGGTGGGGCTACCAGGCCTCCGATTGGTCCTTGGGAGGGGAGGGGAGGGGAAGGAAGAGGAGGAGGAGGAGGATGCCCAGAGAATTAATGAATGGCTTGCAATTTCCGGCTGACCGCCAGAGGACAGCATGCGCCCACATGGCTCCCTGGGACTGAGCCCGCCATCCTCCTTTCCTAGGACAGTGTGTTTTGTCTTTGACTGCTTTTTGTGGAAGAGAGATGGTAGAGGGGAAAGAAGGAAAGGGTCAAAGTGCACATAGAATATTGTGTCCATTTCTGGGCACCACACTGGCGGAGTGTGTCTGGAGAGCAGCCGGGATGGTGATAATTATGAGCATTTCCATCATATTTAATTAGGGTTTAGAAATTGCTTTATGTACATGATTTCATTCGATCTGCCACAAAACAGTCCCTGGTGGTGGGAGTATTACTGTCTGTATTTTAGGGAAATGAGGGAGGGGAGTGAACCTCAGAGGGGCAAATGACTTGCTCAAGCCAGATGACCAGTCAGTTGTGGACCGGAGGTCTTCCACCAGGTCTTCTAATTCCAAATCCACCATATTTTCCACCAGCCCAGGCTGTCAGTCCTAGGGCTTGGAGGCAGCCTAGAGAAGATTCAAGCATTTGAAGGAGGAGGGGCTGTTGTCATATACAAGAGACTTGTTCTGCACAGCCCCAGAGGACAGAGCTAGGCCCCAGGTGAGGGAGTGGGAGGAAAGAGGAGGAAGAACTTACTGACTGAGCTGCCTGAAGATACTGGAGTGCCCGAGGTGGTCTGCCTTGTTCAGTAGCGCTCCTGCCCCCTCAGTGTCCTTGTCCAGGAGGCTGTGAAAGGCATTCTTGCCTTGGAGAGGTTGGATGTCACTCTCATCCTAGAGAAGCGTGTGATGTGAACACCTCACCCTTGCCTTCTCTGGGGTTCAAAAAGGACTGTGATGCCCCCATTCCCTTTTACTCTCTCCCTGCTCGGATGGATGTGAGGTCACCCCTTCCCTAAGAAAAGGATTGGGGGTAGTGTAAGGATAGGATGCCTGGGGTCATTTCTGAGGAATCTCATAGCCAGGGCTGCTTCAGAATTCCCTCAGAATTGTTTTATCAGTACCCTCCACGTCCAGCTGCTCACTTCTAGCAGGTAGGAATCAAAGACATTCTAGAGGTCACAGCTTATTGCTGGTGACTTTGCCGTATTGATTTGTCTTCTCCTTCCCCCCTTTCCCCACACACTGCTGCCAAGGGCAGCAACCCAGGTACCACTGGCCCTTGAGCTTCCAGAGACATTGAATGCCAGGCCAACTCTTTCAGGACTCCATGTGCCTAGAGCCATCAGTCTCCCTTCAGGCCTGCTCTCTCCCTTTTCTCCACCTCTCCTCTCAAACATGGCTTCATTCCATCTGTAATTCAGTGTGGCAATGAGGGTAGCGGAGGCATTCACTATATGGACTGAGGTAGGTATACATCCTAGGAACTTCTCTGGGGAGGTCAGGAAGGATATTTGGTGGTTGCCTTGTTTGGATTCAGAGGGTATGTCCTGCTGACCCACAGGTCCCCCCATTCAGCTCTTTGTCCACTGAATCCTGAAGAAGTTGTTAGCCCAGATTGGAAGGGTTCAGGGTCTGTTTGGGGGTGGGGTCTCATTTAGCCCCGAGGTAGAGAATGGAGGTTAGGCTGGGAAAGAGGAACCCTTGGAGTTAGGACCCCAGGGTCCAACATCTTGGTGCTATGGGAGCAGCTGTTCAGAATTAGAAAGGACCTCTTGGGTAATACAGGTACAATCTATACCTGAGCAGAAATCCCCTTTACAGTAATATCCCTGAGAAGTTAATAATCCTACTTCTGTGTAAAGTAGTGAAGCAGTAAAAAGTGGTAAAGTAGTAAACATCTTGGGAAGTTTTTCTTTATGTCAAGACAAAATCTGCCTCTCTCTGATCCACTGCTCCTGGGTCTGCCCACAGGAGCCAAGCAGGCCTCTAAACCTTCTCTCTGACAGCATTTCACATACTTGATGGCACCTAGGTCTTTCTTTCTCTCCTTTCCCTCTTTCCCTCCCCACCCCCAAGTCTTCTCCTTTCCAGGTCCCCTCACTATCCTGGTTGTGTTCTTCCAGGTATATTTCAGCTTGTAAATATCCTTCCTATAATGTAACTTCCAGAATTGGAAATAATATTCCATATTGGGTCTGCCCAGGGCAGACCTGTACACCTCTATATTGTTTTTATCCTTTGAAAGATGTCTGAAAAAAAATTTTTTAGCTAAAAAAAAAAAAAGTCTGTCCCTGACACTACCCCCTGCCCCCTTACTAGTCAATCAGTAAACATTTATTAAGTGCCCACTATGTGCCAGGCATGTGCTAAGTGTTAGGGATAAAAGAAGCAAAGACAGCCAGCCCCCTGCCCTCAAGGAGCTCACAGTCTACCTCCCAGCTAGCCTGAGGAAGTACTGGGCACCAAAGGCCTGTTTTCCTTCTGTCTGTGTCTGTTTTGCATGGAATGGGTTTCTGGGTCCAGATATGGAAGAGGGAAGGTATGTTCTTTCCCTATTACAAGCTTTCCCAGAGGAAGGAAGGAAGGACTTGAGCCTTCAAGGGGGATTACGTGACATATGGGCGTACGTCAGGAAAGCAGTGTGACTTGAGTGGGAAGGAGAGAGTGAGACAGAGGGATGGACCACAGAAGGCTGAAGGTGGGTCTGAGAGGGAAGCTGAAGCTGCCATGTGCCCTAGCAGCCAAGCTTAGAGCTGTCCTGGGGACTCCCAGAAACTGAAAGGCAAAAACAAGTCCCAGGCTCTTTAATCCCTGGAAAGGAACCATGAGTTGGGCAGATAGGCCAGACTAGCACGGCCTCCCAAGCAGCTAGACTGGTGTAGAAAGAACACTGGATTTGGGGTCACAGGGCCCAAGGTCCAGTGCTGGTACTTGGTGTGACCCTGGGCAAGTCCTTTCCTGTCTCTGGGTCTGGCTTTCTAAGATTTAAAATGTGGTGGTTGGATCAGATGATGTCTAAAGTCCCTTCCAACTCCCAATCCTCGGATCAGTAGTGCTTCTGTGTTAGAGAGGGAGGGAGGGAGGGAGGAAAAGGCAACCTCAGCTCCATAGGTAGGTAGTGCTGGGAGCTGTCTGCTGCTTGGTGCTGAACCACATTCAGGTGCTCCTGGGCTTGGTTTTTCCTCTGGCTTCACCAAAGGAAGAGATTGATGGAAGTGCTCTTTCTTTGCCTTTGTCCCATGGGGGTGGCTCATCCCTGGTCTCCAGGGATGGATGGCTACACTGTGGGAGGGAATGGCTGCCATTCATTCTTCCCAGGGGCAGCCACCCATTCATCTCAACAACTGCAGTGAAAGGATAGTGATCTCTTAGGATTTGGGGTGTCTGCATCACGAGTGGGCTCTGACCACATGTCTCTCCTCCCACCAGGGCCACACGAGCCACCGAAGTGCTCTTAGCAGACCCATGCTTCCAGCTCCGCTCCATCCAGTACCTCCTGGGCCAGCCAGAACCCGTGGCCCCTGGGGCCACACCACCCCCTCCCGAGAGGAAGCACTTCTCCCTGCAGAGCTGTGAGTACAAGACTCAAGACAGATTTCCTCTTGCAAGGCCGAGTGGCACGGAATAAAAAGCCCTGGCGTGGAGTCAGGAGGCCTGGGTCAGAATCCAACTCCAACATGAGGATGGGCTTGGGCAAATGGGTTCACATTTCCGAACCTCAATGTCTTAAACTGTCAAAAAGGGCTAATAACCCTTCCTTCATCTGCCTCAGATAGGGTTATTTTAAGGGCTGTAGAAATGATGGTCTGGACATCCCAGGACTTGGGAGGCTGTTCAGTTCTCCTGCCTTTTCCCAGAGGCCATTATTCAGCTATCTAATCACTGTGCCTAGGAGAAAATAGGTAAGGAGTTCAGCTCCGCCAACGACCCTGCTCCCACGTTCTGGGCACTGGCCAGAATTGAAGAGCTAAGCTCTCTCTGGGTAACAGGAGGGGCACCAACATGCCAAAAGCAGGGCCCCAAAAGAACAGCCAGGGAGGTAAGGACACCCCTCCCAAAGTTAAGACGCCACCAGGGCTACAGCAGGGGTACAGACAGGACAAGATTTACCTTCACTCTCCCCAGACACTGATTACATCAGCCGGGAGGAATTAGCTAAAGTGGATCAGATGTTGGGCCATCTGAGTGAGGAGTCCAAGCAGGCAGCCGCCTCTACCCTGGTGAGTGTGTGCACACAATCCCTGTGCCCCTAAGCCATCTGTGTGCATGTCTGTATACTGTTTTACATGAGAGTATGGGTGTGTGCATGCACATATGCCTGGGTTTCTGTGCAAATAAGACATCTGCTTATATGTATGTATGGAGATCTTTGCTTTGGAGGTCCCTGCAGAGCAAAAATCATTTTCCCCATGAGAAATATGTTGGGAAGAATCATGTATGCACAAAGGCCCCCGACTCCCCTTTCTCTCCCCACCCAGCCCACCAGTGAAGAGGACCTGTGCCCCATCTGTTATGCCCACCCCATCTCTGCTGTGTTCCAGCCCTGTGGCCACAAGTCTTGCAAGTGAGTACCTGGCCTGAGGGAGGGCTGGGCTGCAAGGGACTATTAGGAAGACTCTGAAATTTGGTTCTCTGCCCATCCATCCACTTCCCCATCACAGAGCCTGCATCAACCAGCATCTGATGAACAACAAAGACTGTTTCTTCTGCAAAGCAACAATCACTGGGGTGGATGACTACGAGAAGCCAGCTTCCTCATCTTAGGCCCCCTATCTCAGGGTGGGGGCCCTCAACCTGCTCCTTGGGCTCCAGGGGTAAGGCTAGGGGGAGGATGGGCACACTCATCCCTGTTTAGAAGCCCCCCCTTTCTGGACAGCTCCTTCACCAGCCTGGGCCTGCCCTGAGGAAATCAGAGGGAGGGAGATGAGAGGCTGCTTGGTAGCAGCAGTTCTTCCCTGCTTTTTCCAATGCAGAGAGGACAGGGGTTCCCTTCCCTGCACTGGCTTTTATAAAGGGGTGGGGAGTGCACAGTTACAGGTGTGAGTATTAAATTATTATTCCATACAGCCCCACCCTGCCTTTTTTCTAGGTGTGGGACAAGAGCCTGGTCCTGTTTCCCCATTTGTCAACTAAGGGGGAGGTACTAGATCAAGTTCCAAGAAAAGTCGGGGGGAGGCTGGCTGCAGAGACAGCCAAACCCCTGCTCTACAATGCACTCACAGCCATGCTTAAACAATATAACGCCAGCTTTGTTTAAACTCTTACATTATAAAGAGAGCTATTTACAGGGGCCTTCTCCTTCCCTTTGTGGTGAGGGGTTGGGGAGAGGGCTTCAGCTCCCTCCCCTTGGAGGCACGGAGATGCCTGAGCCTTGCCCAGGGCAGCAGGGGCTGCTGTGCTCTGCGCCTTAGTTCACATGATGATTCGCGGCTCAGGCACTGATTCGCCAATGGACTTGTGGGGCAGTACACTGGCCCCATTGAGGTAGAGCTCATCGCCCACAATGACATCCTCTCCCAGCACTGTCACGTTCTCCATGCGCACCTGGGGGCAGGTAGGGGAAGAGGCAGGATTCAGGCAGGAAGAAGTTCCCCCCCACCCCCAACCCTCTCTCCAACCAGCTGCCTGTCCCCTCCCCAGGTCCTGCTGTTCACCCATTCCCTATCACATCCCTTGCTCACCCACTGGCCCACACGGGAGCTCCAGCCCACAATGCAGGAATCGAGCCATGAGTGAGAACGGATATGGGCGCCTCGCAGCACTGTGCATCGCTTGATACACACGCCATCCTCTACCACCACACCAGGGCCCAGGCTGACGTTGGGCCCGATGCTACAGTTCTGGCCGATCCTAGCGCTTGGATCCTGGGGGGAGGAGAAGCATGCACAGGGCTGATTTAAAGGTTCAAGGGCTCCTCCCTGCAAGGTTACCTCCCTGGAGTCTGAAAAACCTACTATTAGGAATTAATTCAACAAACATTTATTAAATGCCTACTGTGCTCCGCTTTTGGGATACAGTGATGAAAAATTGAAGGTCCCTGCCCTCGAGCAGCTTGTACAATCTACTGGGCACCAGGATGGCCTGGGTGAATGTCCAGAGGTAGGAAATGAGGAGGGGGACAGCTAGGAGTCTTGTCTGGCTGGAAAACAAAATGCATGAAGTGAAAGCCACATACACTAAAACCAGTGTGGCAGGCTGCAGCTACACTGTGGGAGCCTTGAATGCCAAGCTAATGAATTTGTACTTAGCCACTGAAAGTCGGTCAGACCTGCGCATAAGCCATGCAATAGGTTCATACAATAGAGTGGAGAATGGAGAGGCAAGAGGAAGGGAAACCAACTGGGACACAGATCATCCCAGTAGTGGAGGTGATGAGGCCCTGGACCACAGGGGTAGTAGTATAGAAGCAGCAAGGAGCAAAGATTGTGGAGGCAGAATCATCAGAATGCCCAGGAGTTCAATAATAAAATACATTAAGCCTTACTGATCATTTATACCTAAGGGAGAATGAGTGTGTCAGAGTCCTTTAAGCGTCTTAAGAAATGGGCCTGGCACTCACCACCAGCACGTTGCCCACAATGCCCGGGCCAGAGTAGAGCCGCTCAGGCTGCGTCTGCCTAAGTGACTGCAGGAAGAGGCACATCCCAGTCAGGAAGTCCTTGGGCTGCCCGATGTCCATCCAGAAGCCTAAGGGTGCAGGCACAGGGAGCCTGACTGGCCAGTCCCACCCAGGCCTGCCAGCCCTGTTCCCACCCTCCGTGAGCCAGCTCTCCCATTTACCTGCAAGTTCCATGGCATACAGCTGCCCTTCCTTGGCCATCACAGGGAAGATTTCCTTCTCGATAGATGTGGGCTGTAACTGTGGGGGTGGAGAGATGCTCAGTGGCTGCTGATACTGACTCCAGGCGCTCTCTTCCCCTCTGGCCTGGCATCTACTGCTCCCACCATCCTCCCACCCAGGCCCACCTGGATTCGCTGTAACACACTGGGACTAAAGATGTACATGCCGGCATTGATCTTATTGGACACAAAGACCTGGGGCTTCTCCACAAATCGATGGATGCGGCCTGTGACTGTGTCGCTCACCACCACCCCGTACTTGGAGGGCTCCTCCACTTTGGTCACCTAAATTGGCAAAGGAAGAGGGATGACACTAACTCGGCAGGCTCTCCGAGTCTCCCACACCCGAGTCCTTAAAGTCACCTCCCTGGAGCCAGGGCCCTTCAAGTGGAGATGAGACCAGGAAGCAGATGCTTTCTATCCAGCAAACACACTAAGGACATGTATGTGGGAGGCTAGGTGAGGGATGTGGGAGGATGGAAGGAAATTCATCAGGGACCGGAGAAGCTTAGAAGCCTCCCAGGCCCTAGAGCCAGAAGGGATCTGTCCTAGGGACTGGCTGATCCAACCCTTGGGTTGTTAGAGAAGGAAAATGACTCGGCCACCATTACAAAGTAGCAGAACCAGGCCCTCTGACTATGGCGTCGGTCTTGACACTAGGCTGGGCTCGGTGGGGCTGAAGCAGACTAGCTGGCACGGTCAAAGGTCAGGAGGTTGGGTTCACATCACCACCCGCTCCTTACCATGGAGGGGAGTTGGGGGGGGCAGGGGATGTCTCACCACGATGGTCCCCTCCTGCCCATGATGCTGATGGAACTTCGCCATCGCAGCAAAGGGGAAGTCACAGATGATGTCACTGTTGAGAACGAAGAAGGGATCCGAATTCTCTGTGAGCAGCTCCCTGGCGAGTGCCAGGGGCCCTGCTGCAGGGACACAGGGCACCAGACACTCAGGGCTGGCCTCAGCCCGGGTTCCGTGCCCCTCACCCCCCAGCTCCTTCCCGCAGAGCCTGCCTCTACCCCAGGTCTGTCTTCCACTGACCTGTTCCCAGAGGCTCCTGTTCATGGGACAAGGAGATTCGAATCCCTAGCTGAAAAGTCAGAGCAGACTCGGTCAGGGGGGCCAGTCGGGGGTAATTTCTCCTGTCTTCAATGCCCCATCCGGCCCTTCCTCCAGCCACTCTGGGGCTCAGGTGTGGGGCATTTCCACCCCCTTCAAATCAAATTGTATTTGTAAAAACACTTATCTCAGTGCCTGGCACACAGTAGGTTCTCTGATGCTTATTCAGTCCCTCCCTGCACCCCCTCCCCTCCTCAGAGGGATACTGTCTCACAAATACTTCCCAGACCTGGGTCCTAGGTAGCTAGAAAAAACTAAGGGGCTTTTACAGTGAGGGAGCCCTCCACTAGGGCTGCCACTCCAGCTCATGCCTGCCTGGCACTGCTGAGGACCCAGGCTCACCTCGCCCTCCTCACCCTTAGTTCCTGTTCCTTCATTTCTTTCTCCAACATCTCAGACATGTAGCTCACAGCCAGGATCACATGATTCACTCCTGCCTGTAGAAGAAAGCATGGATGTGGCCCCTCCCCTCTCCTGGGAGTCGGTTACTGGGCAGTCATCCCATTCCCACCCCCACCCCACCCATCCTGAGGCTGGGCTGAACCTTCAGCTCAAGCCCTTACCTCTTCCTGAGCCCCCCTTTTAGTATAATAACAGCTGATAAGTCTATATAAAATTTGTGCTCCTCTATCCCAAGTCTTCACTTCTTTCTGGGGCCCCCTTTGAGCACAAGGTCACCTGGTAAGTCCAACTCAAGCCCTCACCTCTTTCTGAGCGCCTCTTTCAGTATAATAACAGCTGATAAGTATATACAAAACTTGTGCCAAACCTCTAGCTCCAGCCCTCACCTCTCTCTCTGCCCCGCCTTTGAGCACAAGGACCCTGGTAAGTCCAACTCCAGCCCTCACCTCTCTCTGGGGCCCCCCCTTTGAGCACAAGGACCCTGGTAAGTCCAACTCCAGCCCTCACCTCTCTCTGGGGCCCCCCCTTTGAGCACAAGGACCCTGGTAAGTCCAGCTCCAGCCCTCACCTCTCTCTGGGGACCCCTGGTAAGTTTATGAAGCTGGGGAGTTCGGCTGGACGTGTCACTGTCACGCCCGCGGGCCGCGGCCTCACCTTCTTCACCAGCGCCTCCACCTGGTGCAGCAGGATGGGTTTGTTGCAGAAGTCCACCAGCGGCTTGGGCGTGCTCAGGGTCAGGGGCCGCAGCCTCGTGCCGTAGCCGCCCACCAGGATCAGCGCCTTCATCGCACCCACGCAGGGCCCTGGGGGAGGAGGAGAGGGGGAGACCGGCGCTCAGCGGGCGCCGCCCCGGCCCCGGCGCCGTCCCTAGACCCTGCTCCCGGAGCCGGCTCGGCCGGGGCTCCCCTCCCCCCTCGCGGGACCCGGGCTCCCCCTCCTCACCGGCCGCGGATCCGGCTCCGGCTCGGGCTTCGCGTCCAGCTCCAGCTCCGGCCCCGCCTACATCCGCCCCCTCCGGTCAGAGGCCTCCCCCCGGCCCGTGACAGGCCGCAGGCGGCCGCGCAGCGGAAGGGGAGGGGCCAGGCGCCGAGGCCCGCCCATGCCAGGGCAGCTACCTGCCAATCGCCGGACGCCTACGTGGCACGGCAGTGACGCCATAGCGCCGCCGTGCCGCACCCCTCCGAGCCTGGCCAATCATAGCCCAAGCGCCCGAGGCGCCATGGCGACGGCGGAAGGGACAGGCGGGTCAGTTGCCCATTGGTGGATACAAAGACGGCACCGGCAGCAGGGGCGGGGCCTCGGCTTCACCCACGTGGTTCCTAGGCAGGCGCCCCACCCCATGTGTTACGAGGCAGGGCCCGCCGAGAGTCTCCCTGGAAAGTAGAAACAAGTCGGCCCAGGTGCACCCTGGGGTTCCAAATACGTGGCCTCAGATAAACCCTTCATCTTGTCTGGGCCTTAGTTTCCTCATCTGTAAAAACGAGGAAGGCGATTGTTGTTATTGTTCAGTCGTGTCCGACTCTTGGTGACCTTTTTGGGGGGTTTTCTTGGCAGACGCTGGAGTGGTTTGCCACTTCCTTCTCCAGCTCATTTTACAGATGAGGAAACTGAGAGTAAACAGGGTGAAGTGACTTGCCCAGGGTCACACAGCCGTCAAATACGGTCTGTGGCCGTATTTGAATTCGTCTTCTTCCTGATTCAAACGAGGAAACGCCCTAGGATAAAATCCCATCCTTGGCTCTCGTTTCTTGTGAGACCTTGTACAAAACACGTAACCTTCCTGGGCCTCAGTTTCCTCATCTGTAAAACCAGGATGGACCTTGGACTAGGATGCTCCCTTGCACCTCTAGATCGAAGATCTAAATGCAGAATCGAGGCTATTAGCTGTGCGCCCCCGCTTCTCCGTTCTTCCCTCTCTCCCATCACTGGAGGTGTCTTCCGCCACGCCCCCCTCCTCCACCCCTTTCACAGGATGACGTGGCCTTGCTCCTCGCCAGAGCGAACCCCTCTGCTTGTCCCACCTCCTGCGACAACTCCCAGTCCCCGCCCCCTCATCCTCCCTCCCACTTTTTTTCATTCTCTTGTCCACTGCTTACAAACATGACCGGGTCACCCCCATCTTGGAAAAAAAAGTCCTCACTTGATTCTTATCCATCCCCACTATTGTCCTGTATCTCTTATGCCCTTTGTGGCCTGGTTTCAGAGGAGGAACCCGACAGCTGGAGATGAAAAGCAATCGACCAGGGGTCACACTGCTGAAACGCGAACCCAGGTCTTCTTATTCCCAGTACAGTACTCTAAGGCAGCAAGTCGTTTTCCTTTTAAAAGCAGGGCTCAAATTCCACCCAGTATATGAAAAAGTTGCACTTGGTTTAAATAATGGAGAGATCACTGGTCAGAAGTCCTGAATGCACACTCTAGCTCTGTGACCTTGGGGAAGTCACTTCCACTCTGAGTCCATGCCCCGTCTAATTCATGGGGTTCTAAGTAGCTGACTCTGTTTCAGAAATTCTATGACCCTGCCAGGTCTGGACAGGGCATTTCCCAAACCAACGCTCACAGGTGGTAGGATACAGACTGTGCTAAGAATTAGGGAGCAAAGCAGTCCATTTTGGCTTCAGCTTCTGGTTTTTGGAGGCAGGGATAGGCTGAAAGGTGGGATGGTGCCAGGTTATGTATGAAGCCTGAACTTCACTCAATAGGCAACCAGGATTCAAGGATGGATAGGACGACTTGGCTATATTTGTTCATAAGGGAGAAAATGAGATAATGAATTAGAAAGGAAATTTAAAAAAAAATAGCTGTATAAATGGGAGATGCTATCATCACCATGCCTGTGAGAGGTCAACTGAGAGTTCCCAGTGAGTCTGCTGTGCAGTAGATGCTACCTGCGGCCAGGGGGAGGTAGGAAAACTCCTTGATTAGGGACCTGCCTCTAAAAAGCAAGATTAGGGCCTCTGGGATTGTGTCTCACTTGGGCAGAAGCTGCTGAAGGCTTCTGGTGGAGAAGTACTGGAGCTATCTCCTTAAACTGTGGGAACTTAGTGGGTGACCCTGGGCTCAGGTAGGTTGTTTCTTCTTTAAGGTGGTTTGAGTTGGGTTCTTAACATGTTATCGGCCCCCTCTCCCAACTGCCTGGTACCCAAGCAGTGGAGGAGCTTTTTGGAATGGCATCTCCAGCTCAGGCAGTCCCCGCTTTCTCAACTCTCTCCAGACTTCATTTTCCACCCTTAGAAAGGACAAGGGTTAGATGGAATAAAGTGTAAAAAAAAAACCCACTTTCTACAAGTATAGGTAAGATAAGTAAGGACTTACCCAAATAAAGATGGTGACCTGGATTAAGAAAAGCATGAGTTGGACTTCCCTTCTGGGAGCCAAGATGGCAGAGTAAGAGGCAAGTCTCTCTTACCCTCCCCTATTAACCCCTGAAAGCCCAGAAAATATCACCCCAGGAAAAACCCTGAACAGCTGAACCAGAAGATGGGGTACAGCAGTGCAGTAGCCCAGGTAGCTTGAGGAATTAACTGGAAAAGCCCCTCTTGCCTTGGGGGAAGTGGAGCAGTACAGAATGGAAGGCATCCCAGCAAGCTAGTGGAAAGCCCCACCTCAGCATACCAGAAAGAGATATTGAAGCCCAGGTGGTGGAGCAGGCAAACACCAACACCTGGACCCCCCAGTGCCTCATTGAGGGTGGGGGAACTGGTGGAAACCAGCTCAGAAAACCACCGGGTGCCTCAGCATTCTACAGCAACCGGCTCTTCCAATGCCTCAGCAAAACTAAGAGAAGCAGCACTCCAAGGGGCCCCAGGTGGATAAACACCCTACAACATCCATCTGAAAGGAGCTGAAGAAAGCAAAAGGAAGGAGAGGCCTGGGTGAGCAGTTAAATCTCCAGGAGCCACACTACCCAATCCTACCCATAGAGTTCCAGTGTTGCTGATTCCAGCCCAACACCAGGTAAGCTGCCAGAACCCTACAGCCTCCAACTGCCAGTACTGGAGGCCCCAGAACACAAAGCCAGTGACCAGGCCCTAGGCTCCCAACACAAGAAGCTCGGGTCAGTGCCCTCTGCTCCCCAGCAGGAGACCTCAATATCTTTAAAGGCCAGGAAATAAGCAAACACCATGAGCAAAAAGAAACATACGATAGATTCTTATTATGGGATGAGTGAAGATCAAGGCTGAAATTCTGAAGAGGACAACGTTGTCAACAAACCCACATCTGGAACCTCAAAAGGGAATATGAACTGGTTTGAAGCCCAAAAAGTCTTCTTAGAAGAGCTCAAGAAGGATTTTAGAAGTCAAATGAGGGAGGTAGAAGAAAAAATGGGAAAAAAATGAGAGGTATGCAAGAGAGTCAATAGCTTGGAAAAGGAAGGACAAAAATCAACTGTAGAAAACAAGTCCTTAAAAAATACAATGGCCAACTGGAAAAAAAGTACACTGAAGAAAACAAGTCCCTAAAAAATAAAATTGGCCAAATGGGGAAGGAGGTGCAAAATCTAATAGAAGAAAACAATGTGTTAAAAATTAGAATTGAGCAAATGGAAGCTAATGACTCTATGAAAGAGCAAGAATCAGTCAAATAAAAACCAAATAATGAAAAAAATAGATGAAAACGTAAAATACCTCACTGGTAAAACAACTGACCTGGAAAACAGATCCAGGACAGGCAATTTAATAATTACTGGTTTATCTGAAAATCATGACAAAAAAAGAAGTATTTTTCAGGAAATCATAAAGGAAAGCTGCCCTGAGGTGCTAGAACCAGAGGGTAAAACAGCCATAGAAAGAATCCACTGATCACCTCCTGAAAGAGATCCCAAATTTAAAACACCAAGGAATATAGTAGCCAAATTCCAAAATTACCAGGTCAAAGAGAAAATACTGCAAGCAGCCAGAAAGAAACAATTTAAATATCATGGAACCACAGTCAGGATTACACAGGACCTTGCAGCTTCTACATTAAAAGACTGTAGGGCATGGAATATGATATTCTGTAAGGCAAAGGAGCTTGGATTACAACCAAGGATCAACTACCCAGTGAAAATGAGCATGATCTTTCAGGGGAGGAGATGGATATTCAAAGAAATAGGGGACTTCCAAACCTTCCTGATAAAAAGACGAGAGCTCAACAGAAAATTTGATCTTCAAATACAAGACTCAAGAGAGACATAAAAAGGTAAATGGGACAGAAAGAAACAACATGTTATTAATAAGGGCAAACTGTTTACATCCCTACAAGGGAAGATGACACTTGTAACTCTTGAGAACTGTATTGTTATTACACCATGTTAAAGGGTATACATAAAGGGGATGGGTATAAATTGACTTTGATGTAATGATGAAAAAAATCTAATCAAGTGGGTTAAATGGATCCAAGTAAGTGAATTAATCTGATCCAACTAAAAAAATGTACTGAGAGAAAAGGAAAGGAGGCAGCAGACAAGGGTAAATTACATCACAGGAAAAGGCACAAAATCCTATTACAGCAGAGGGAAAGAAGGGAGGGAGATGAGCATTGTTCCAACCTTACTCTCATCAGATTTGGCTCAAGAAAGGAATAACAATCAGGCATAGAAATCTAACATGCTCTATAGGCAGTAGGAAGGAAAAGGGGAAAGAAAAGGGAGGGGGTTAATAGAAGGGAGGTGGGACTGAGGTAAGTGGTAGTCAAAAGCAAAACATTAGTGAGGAGGTAAAAGGAGAAAGGAGAAAGAAAAGCATAAAGGGTGGGTTGAAGGATAAAGGGAAAGACACAGACAGTAATAATTGTGAATGTGATATATGAATGTAATGGAATACTATTATGCTATAAGAAATGATGAACAGGCAGACTAAAGATAAACCTAGAAAGACTTGTATGGTTTGATGCTGAATGAAGTGAGCAGAATCAGGAGAATGTTGTACACAGTAACAACCACACTGAGTGGTGACTTTGATAGACTTAACCCCTCTCAGCAATATAAGGATCTAAGACATCTCCAAAAGCCTCATGATGGAAAAGGCTATCCACATCCAAAGAAAAGAGCTATGGAGTTTGAATGCAGATCAAAGCATACTATTTGCTATTTTTTTCTTTTGTTGTGTTTTGTTTCCTCTTTCTGGTGGTTCCTCCTATTATAGTTCTAATTCTTCCTTACAACATGACTAATGGGAAAATGTTTAATAGGAATGTATGTGTATAGCTTATATCAGATTATGTGCTGACCAGGGGAAGGAGGTAGGGAGAAAAATTTAAAACTCAAAAGCTTATGGAAGTGATTGTTGATATTAAATTAAAAAAATTTTTTTAAAAAAGCATGGGTTCTAACCTTGACTCAGGTCTTACCAGCTGTAAATTATTTAATACCTCTGAGCCTCAGGCTTCATCTATAAAATAGGGACAATAATAGCAGCCACCTCCCAGGGTGGATGTGCAAATACAGAATGGCCCAAGGTTGTTGTAAGAGAATGAGCTAGACAATCTCTCCCTGGGACACCATGCTCCTGAACCTGGGGCAGAGGCTGACCCCTTAGCTCTTTCTCCTGGAAATAATCTGTGGCATCAAGTTACTCCCTTCCTGGGGGAAAGCCCATACCTACGACCCCACCCCAGAGCAGGGAGAGGTGGGCCACCAACTCCTGACCATGGCTGCTCCTCTTGCAGCTGGGGACTTGCATGTATCACCGTAGGCTGCAAGCAAAGGGGGCCATGATTTTGCTGGGCAATGGCTTCATTGGAAGGGACAGAAGCTAAAGGGGGTGGGCCTTGTTATGGTGTATTAGTCAATTTTTTTTTTTGTGAGGCGATCAGGGTTAAGTGACTTGCTCAAGGTCACACAGCTAGTAAGTGTTATGTGTCTGAGGCTGGATTTGAGCTCAACTCCTCCTGACTCCAGGGCCGGTGCTCTTTCCACTGCACCACCTAGCTGCCCCTGTCATGGTGTATTAGGAATCTCTTTTGGCTACTTCAAAGCAGACTCTCACTTGCCATCATCTCTTAGGAACCCAGAAACATAAGCTCCCTGCGGGTTACTGACCTGCACCCAAAGGCAACTCTGGAGATAACGTAATTCCATTCTGCTGCTCTCTCTCTCACCAGTATTTGGCAAAGCAGAATGACACTGATCAGGGGAAAACACAGAAGAGTAAACTACGTTTTAAATAAGGAAACTCTTGAGCCTCCAACCCATCCTTCTCAGGGAACCTCTGCTAAAGTTGGCCTTTGTTTGCAGAGCTACCCAGATTCTCTCCCCAAACTTCTTTCCCTCAGAACTACACAGGGTCCTGTTGGCAGAATTGGACCACCCAAGTGACTGGTTGGTCGGTCCATAGCTGGCTTTGGGGCTTCAGCCCAGGTGGGAATGAATGTTGGAAGTTCAGGAGAAACAAATCTCTTCCTTCCAAGTCACCTCGCTTTTCATCTCTAATGCACTTACATACTTATCTCAATTTTCCCTCTATGTCACATCCCCCTGGTAGGCTGTGAGCTTCATTTATGGAGGCAGAGATCTCTTGTGTAACTAACTTGTGAGCTCTGCCAGGAGGTACCAAAGGGCTGCTGAATCTGAAGGAACTGAGCAGCTCCACGTGGAAATCTCACTTGACACCTTCTCTGAGGAATATCAGACAGAGAACACGCTTGTACATTTCTAGGCGCCTTTATTTTTTATATACATGACTTTTGGACAGAAGGCAAGGGAACAGTGCGGGGTGAATACAGACACTGTTAACAATCATGCCCCTAAACAAGTTCCAGAGAAAACTAAAGATATGCAGAAAAATGCCAGAAGACAAATGTAATAATGCCACTATGCAGGAGACTGGACAAGTAGAGAGTTTTCTTCTAAGTCAGCAGAGCTGACATGGCTGATTGTCCTTATACTTCCAGGAAGAGCAGTGGGAGATGGGGAGGTTCTTGCCAACTCCCCCACAAGCAAAGCAAGGCACTGCTCCCCTCATGGAAACACAAACCTATCACGATATTCCCCTATGGCAAAGCAATGTTCCAGGGTTTTGCGGGAGTCCCAGCCCTCCCTGGTCCATTCCCATTCCACAGACCTGTTGGCGGCCTGACATCAGAAGCCCTGCCTTCCATTTTTTGCAAGTGGCTAGTGCTTACTCATTGGCCCCCCGTAAATACTGTACAGAGATCTCAAACAAAAGCACCCATGTGTGCTGGGCTCCCTTGCCATCCCTCTCTTTGGTCCAGTGCTGGGATCACATAGTCCCTCCCTCCAAGTTGGCAAAGAGATGCAGGCCACTGGAGGGGATGTAACGGGCAGGAGGAAAGATGGCAAAGGGCCCATCAACTCCAAAGTGTCCACTGCCCAGCTCCCCTGGATGCCAGCCAGACTTTTATGGCCAAGCTGTGTCTGACAGCTGGCTTTTACTAGCTATTTCTGGGCAAGCAAAAGACACCTTCCCCATGCATGCAGGACTGGGCATGGCCAGTGACCAGGAGTGGGGCATGTGGTCTGAAAATGGTGTCCTTGGAAATCTAAAACACTTCTATGGTGGACACCTCCATGTTGTTCCCTGCTCTGAGGATAACCTTAGAATCTGCCATTTTTACATCCCCGGGGCCCAACCTGGGAATAATGGGGCCCAGAAATACTGAGTAAGTAGGCACAGCCTGTTCATCCTCAGCAAGGTGCAGCTGGGCTCAAAACGGAGGGACACTGTCCCAAGGTCCCAGAAACACTGACTGCTCCAGCCAGGCATTTAACCGGCTGGAAAGCTAAAGCAGGCATGCTGCACAATCTATTAGACATCTGTCTTCTCCTCTGCATAGCACTGGGAATGAACACTGTCTGCTCTTCAAAGGCACCTATCTCCCATAGTGGAGACCACAGCAAAATGCAAGGGAGAAGTGGGTCATTACCAGAAGGTCCTGGGGCTAGAGTTCCAACTCAGATGAGCTGTTCTGCCCTCGGGGGATCACTGGGTTAAACCAGGCAATGGCATTTTAACATCAAAGTCTGTTCTGCCCTAGGGCTCACCCCAAGGTCCACATCTAGAGGCCAGCCTACCTCAGAGGGAAACTCTCATAGCTCCAGGGCCCAATTTAAGATGTAGTGCCTGGATGTCTAAAAAGAAAGAGACCATCTCATGTCACAGTCTCATCTAGAGATGGCTCAGCTCCCTTTCCACGCTGAAGCCAGGAAAGACATAAGGTAACAATGATACATGCTGAGTTCCCTACAGGAAGATGAGGTTAAAGATATCATACACATAGCTCTCTCTCTCTCTCTCTCTCTCTCTCTCTCTCTCTCTCTCGTGCATACGCATGCTTCTCAGTCCCTCTTGAGCCTAGTAGCATGGAACAGTTTGTTCTCACTGAGCTGTCCAGACTGGCAGTATCACTGACAACCCCTGGTAGACTCTGTGTATCCAAGTTGGCTTGAAACTCCTGGGGCTTTGAGTTAAGTCCCAATATGGTACATCACTTCCCAAGACTAGTCTTATGCTTCAGACCTGCAAGCCAGGGTGAGAATATAGAGAAGGGATGGCAAACAGCCTCCAGCACCCTCTGTTCTGGCCCTTCCCACAGGCATGAAGAAAGAGGCAAGGGCTGGGCCAAGCACCCAAAGCACCGGTCAGTCAGGGCTGAGAAAACCAACCCCCACGCTTTTTCTTTGCCTTCACTCCAGCTGCCTCCCTTGGATTATGCTGACCATTGGGCACTGACTAGTGAGGAGACTGAACAGGAAGAGCACACTGCCCTGGTACTCCCTACGACTTAATCCACTTCCTCCAGAAACTTCAGCATCTACGAAGAGTCCAACTCCAAGGCAAGAACCCCAGTTAGTAGCTGCTTGAGAAGGGAGTACGGAGGAAGAATTATTAACAAAGGGGTCAATGTCAGTGGCCAGCTAGCCATCCTCACCATTGCACATTGCTCACACCTAGAGACAAACTTGAGAGCTGGCCCAGAAGGACATAAAAAAATCCTCAAATGTCACTCTCAACACTCTACCTTTTCTTAAAATTCAGCAGGCACCACAAAAGTCAGAACCCGCCACGGGCTATTGGGCCTGCAGCCCAAGCTGCTCACTTCCAAGGCTTGCATTTCTCGGTTCTGTGTTCTGGTTTTATTCGTTCAGTGAGTCCTGCTGCTCCTGACCAACCCACACCTGAAGTAGGTGGTGCAGACCACATGACACCTTACAGTTTTATAGGATCCAGGGCTCCAAAGAGAAGAGCAGCAAGAAGCAATATGGCAACCAAGGTTGGAGATCTTAGATCTTAGAAATCTAGAGAGATTTAAGTGCCTTCTTTCACTGCCCTAAACCAACAAGGCTCCAGCCCCCTACATCTGGGATTGGCCAACCACTAAGAGAAGTTGATGGCTATAAGCGGCCCTGGTCATAATCCATACTCCACCCCCCTCCCCACCCACCTCCCAGTGCCCAAAAATAATCTGCTGGGGGCAGGGGGGAAGGGAAGTAGGAGGGAATAGGAATAAAATTCACTCCCCTAGGCTTGTGGAGGAAACACTTCTCATGCTGCTGGAGTCTGGATGCATGCTATCAGGTGGAAGAAAGCAGGGTGGGGTTCAACTAGGGGTACCAAGGAGAGCCAGAGGAGGCCAAACGCTTACTAAGGCTGGCCTTTGCTAAGTTCCTATGTTCCATGCTCACCTGGCTTGTTTTAACTACCAGCCCAACTTCATACACCTGTTATCTTCCCCACCCCATCTTCAAATAGCTTAGTTCAGTCTCTCGCAGCTCAATTTCAAAAGGCAAGAAACAGCAGAAGCAGCCAACAGCAGCTAGAGGGGGAAGTGTAGTTCCAAGACTATCTCTTCAGGCAACCTGGCTTACCAGAGAAGTCTTACTGGCTGTTTTTCCCCATCCCTGCTAGGATGCTGAAAAACACACACACATTACAATCTCTTTCTCTTAGTCATTTCTCTTAGCTGTCCACAGACACAAGAGAAACTCCATACCAGGCTACTTGCTACCCAGAGTCCCTCTTGCTTTTCTCCGCCTGCTACAGATAGGTCTGGTGACCCCCCAGAGCCTCTCAGGAATAAGTGACATGCAAGAGCCTGGGGGCTCAAGTGCCTGACTGAAAAGCCTGCCCTTCAGTCAGGCTCCTGCTCTCAATTGCTCCCCAAGTTTGAGGCTTCAAGTGAGCCAATAAAAGGATCAGCGGAGTCTAAAGAGCCTTGTGGTCCCTGGCCCCCACCTGAAGCCTCCTTTTGGCCACAAACCAGGCAGAAGCCTGTGAACTAAAAAGACCAGAGCAGCCGACAGTCTCACCAAGGCCAAAACATTCGGAGATCCTCTTGCTAAGCCAGCCTGGACAAAGTCATCAAAGCCACATGGTTAATAAAATGGCTGAGCACATCTTCTGCTTTCTCCTCTCTCTCCTTCACTTTTATATATATGTATTCCAGGCTACAGCTAAAATCATTTCTTTTAGTTTACACCAAAGAGAAATATAACCCTTTAAAACCAAAGTCTGTCTTGTCTGCCCTCTGTGGTGGGTTCAGAGTGGGTGGTCCCTGCCTGTAGGTAGAGGGGAAAGGGCTCTGGGCAGTGACTGATACGGGGAGCCCAGTGTAGGACACTACTGGTTTTCCTCCCGCATCTGCTCCATGATGGTGATGAGGCTGTCTAGGCCGAACATGTAGCCCTTGTCGGGCCCGTCATGCACAGTAGGGTCATCCCGAAAGCCCTTGAACGTGCTGTGTGCAAAGTCAATCATGCGGACGTCCACCTTGGGTGTGGCAGAGGGGGATGTCTCGGGGCTGGTGCTAGGGCTGGTGCCATCAGGCATCATCTCAGGGAGCCCCGAGTCCACGTTCTTCGAGCGCGTGTCTGCCCGGCGCTCTAGGAACATCTCTGCCCTGCACTCCTTCCCATCGTAAATGATGAGGAGGGAGCTGGAGTAAAATCGGTAAGAGGCCTGCCTCTCCAGCACAGACTTCAAACCCCGAAGTTTGCTCAAGATGGGCTCAAAAAGATCTCTCCGGAGGTCCAGGCCATTGTGGAGATACTGGTAGAGAGCGTTGCGGAAGCCTTCAATCGAGAGCCCACGACCATAGTATTTATTCCTGCACAAATAATGCCCTGTGTCCAGCTGAAAAACCTGAAAGATCAGGAGATAGCATCAGTACATCGGTTATGGACGATGACTTCGGTGGCTTCCTTTCGCATGGTCTGTCAACAGAGCAGGGTTTTAATGGATACTGCCATTCATAAGACCATGGTGCATCCAATTCACATAGGACACGATGGTACAGACAGGAAAGGACCTGAGTCTCCCCCTTAGGCTAAGGGTCTTAAGCGCCTCCCTCCTCTCTTCCCCATCTGCTGCACCCCTCTATTAGTAACTGGACCCACCAAGACCTCCCTCCAGAGCTGATTTCTGGGAACCAGCAGGGCCTCCTTAGTCTAGAAGAAACCCCAAGAGAAAGGCAGGATCCTGAGGAGCCTCCACTACTTCCTAGATCCTTAGGCTATGGGAAATACCCCTTAGCTGAGCTCTGGGCTCTAGAGAAGATCCCAAAACAGCCACAGTCCCTATGAGTCTCAAAGAGTTATTGTCCAGATACCTAGGTCTTAGGCTGAAAAGTAAAAACACGAAGGCTGAACAGCTCACCTTCTGCAGGCATAAATAGGGCAGGAAACGGTCAGGGAGCACCCTGTGGTGGAAATTCCCTCGCAGAGATGACTCTGTGACCGTCACACTCCTGAAGGCCTGGCCTGCACAGGACCCAAAGTGGGAAGGGGCGGGTTGAAGGTAGCTCACGGATACACAACCCCTGAGCCTTTACCTTTCGCACTTAGGCTCACAAGCAAAAGCATCCGCCAGCAGAGGGAGCCCTGACACTAGCGGCAGCCCCTCCTGGGGCTCATCCCCAGCAGTAGCCCCGACGGCCACGCCGGGGCCTGTACCTGCATTCCGCAGACGCGGACGCCCAGAGTGGCAGAGGTGCTCTGCTCACACTTCTTCATCTGCCGGGCAGCCTTCTCCTCAGAGGCATCATCGCCGTGCTGCCTGGTCCCCATCTTCAGATCTAACACACAGGGGAACTTGAAGTGATGTACCACATTCTCCAGCAAGAGGAACTCTAGAGACTCAAGTCAAGGAGACTGCGTGCCTGCCCCCGGGGCAGGGCCAGGTTGGGGCTGTGTGGGCTCAGAAGGGCCACCTATCTCACTCAGGTCACTTCCTCTTTCAAATGAGCCTGGGTTAGGCCACCTCCAAGGCCCCTTCTGGCTCTGACTTTGATCATCCCTAAGTTCACTTGCTGAATCCCCATCTTTTAATACCTTTGTTTTAAATTCTGTCCTTATATCTTCAACACTTAATATAGTGTTTGTACACAGTACGTGCTCAATAAATGCTCACTGGGTTGGCATGGATCCCTTTGATCTCTGATCTCTAAGATTCAATTTGCTCAAATTTTCCCATAACAGGGTCATTCTTACTTATTGCTTTACAGTCATAACAGGGACTCCATACATTTTAACCATCATTAAAACACTTAGTTGAATTCTGTAATATCTGAATGACCACATAAATTTCAGAGATGAAAGGGACCTTAGAAATGATCTAATCCAATCCCCTCATTTCATGGGGTTGGGGGTGGGGGTAAGTGGTGGGAAGGAAGTGGTAGGGGTAGAGCCAAGGTCCCCTCAGAAACAGAACCTGGTTTTAAACCCACATCCTCCTTCCCAACCCTGCCACCTCTGACACATTCAGGCACATCCCTTCAAATCCTCTTTCCTGAGATGTTCACAGCTTTAGTGGAGTCTTTGCAGCACAAATATGGCCAGTCTGACCAATGCCCACACTCTCAGAGTCACTGATAATCTGGGGTCATGGTAGACATCTTTCCTACCGTGTCATTCCCTCCCTGCATCCAAATCAAGTGATCCTTAAGACACCTGGAACGTTTGCTGAAGCTGCTCTTTTCTCCCTCCCTTCTCTTTGCTCAAGTCCCACTTTCATCACCTAAAACACCTTGTTGGCAGTCAATGCTATCAGGGGTAAAGACTTGGCTAAATGTGTGTACATGTGTGTACTCTCGTCCACACACACAAAGCAGGAGCAGATCAAGCCTGTTCTAAGTTTAATTATTTCCCTTTATACGTGAAGAACTAAGGATTAGAGAGAAAAAAAGGACCTGCCCCCATCACACAGAAAATGACACGTGACAGCTGCAACTCAAAGGTGTGGCATTCTGATTCTGAACCCTGGCCAACTACACACAAGGTAGGAAATTTCTATTTAATCCTACACATTCTTTACAGTAGCATTTGGTATCCTGTAAGACTGAACCCTATTATGTTCATGGCCTATTAGGATCTACTGGCAAGTTTTCTAAAGACTTCCATGCCTTCATCTACATATTGCCCCAAACACCATGTAATTAGAAGCAGTAACTGCTGGTTCATGCTGATGTCTAAGCTTTTGGATCTCTACCTGTCTGCACTGAAGGCAGAGGAGCACATGAGAATGAACCACGGACCGGAGGGTCCAGGACAGCCAAAGTGATGTGCCAGTTTCTATGCTGGACAGCCCTGGCACTACCAGCCTCTCAGAGCACTTTGTTAACCATATGGCACTGTCTACACAGAGTTTTTTAATTGTTTTTACAAAAGCACTAAAAGGGGACTCGGCGGCATGGAAGAGCAGAGGTAAGGCACACAATCTTGCCAAGAGGACCAGCAGGAGCCTCCCGCCCACCCACTCTGTAGGATACTGTAGAGCTTCCTCTCCTTAGACTCCGAGCGCATCCGGCTCAGCTGCTGCTTGTGGCAACGCAGGCTCCAGGGGTTGTAGCTGATTTTTTCCGAGCTCAGGCCGCTGTTCCCGTCGAGCATCTGGAAGGGGACATCCGAGTGGATGTGCAGCTCCACTTTGGGGCTCTTCAACTCCTGTGAGCTGCTGGGGGAGGAAACAGCACAAGAGTCATGGGCGAGGCCCCTGGAGCCTGCGCACTGGACCACTGAGGCTCCGAGGCCACTTAGCCTGCCTGTCTCTGCTCTGACAGCTGCACTTCTGCTGACACATTTCTAAGAGGTTATGTTAGAAGATCACAAGTGAAGGGAACTCCCTCCCTCCCATCCTAACTTAGGGATAGCTCTGAATGTACTGGGAGTTGCGACTGGCCTTCTGGCCCTTGCTCTCTTCACCCAGAGGACGTACAGGATTTTGTAACGACCCTGCTCCAAAGCGAGTATTCCATAAGCTGGGTATCATCTTTTTGTTAAAAGCTTTTTTTCTGGCCCTCCTTTTACAAGATGCTCAGACAGTTTATATCTTCCTCCCCCTTGTGTCCAAGCCCATCACTACGGTGTCAGAAGACAATGCAACAGCTTCCAGCCTGGTGACCATGCTGGCCCAGGCTCCCCTGCTCCTGCGTCCTGTTACCTATCTGTGCTCTCTGGGGCCAGCCCTGCCCGTTCCTCCTTATGTTCACTGCCACTGCCTGAGCGATGAAGGCTTCGGCGGGAATGCTTGCGTCGGGGCTGCTCGCGCTCTGGTGGGTCGTCCTGCTCCAGAGCCTCACTTTCCACGTAAGGATAGGCCACCAGGTTAATGTAGCCATCGCTGTCCCCCTCAAAACAGACAGACACAACACCTGCCAGGAGAAATGGGACAAGACAGGCCATAAACATTTAAGGCGCTACAGTGGAAAGGGACGTAGGCTATATCACCCTGCCCAAGATGGAGACATGTTACTCTTCCTGAGGAGCTTGAAAGAAAATGAAGGAAAATGGGTGTTTCTGAGCCTCCTCAACCTCATGCCTTCTGCAGAAACAGAACCATCACATGGACAGATGGACGGACGGACAGACAGAAAGAAGGAAGGAAGGAAGGCAAGCCAGGAGAAACCCTCCAAACACAACAACTTCCTCAAGTTTGTCTTGACCACAGTGAAAGCTCTTAACCCTTTCAGACCTTCTCCTTTCTCACCTTGTTTTTTCCAGATGAATTCCTTACTATTGCTCCACCATAAAAGTACTCTGCTTCCTGAGCAAGTATGCCTATCTTTAAACCTTGGCTGTGAGTACACTGTTCTATTCCTATTGCAGTCTATTCACACCTTTTACCCCCACACCCACCTCATAAAACAAGGGGGCTGGATTATATCATTTCTAAGACCCCTTTCATCTCTGAAATTTATATGGCCATTTGATTATTACAGAATTCATCTACAATTTTTTAAAACGACTGTTAAAATGCATAGAGTCCCTATTATAAGTACATCAAACAATAAGAGATAGGGTCTCTCTTCCTCCTTTTTTCTCCTCTCTGCCAGTGCTAGCAAGGAATATTTTAGAGGTAGATGATATTTCCCAAATTAACAGCTTTGAGATGTATAATTCAGTTCTTTCCCTCATTTGAGGGAGGGTCCTTCCACCATAGGACCATAAGCACTTTACAGTTTAGGTACATTTTTCTAACCATTTTAGGTTTTCCTATGTTAATGCCCCTCCCACAGCTGCTAGCCTAATACAGTCATTCTATTAACAAGCTAGGCACACAGCATCTCCTGGATCTTAACCAAAGGGGCTAAGACTATAAATGCCAGCTTAAAGAGAAGAATGAAAAGTAATGAAACCTGGATACTTAATCAACACTTGGAGGTTGGCTAGGTCCCTTCTTAAAGTCTCTTCTGGGTCAGAAATTTTCTTTTACGCTACAGGAAGAAAAGGTTCCAGCCTCTAGATTTAGGATTGGAAAGGGACCTTAGGGGTCATCTAATCCAGCTCCTTCACTTTTTGTTGTTTTTGTTTTTTATTTTTGCTAGGCAGTGGGGTTAAGTGACTCGCCCCAGGGTCACACAGCTAGTAAGTGTCAAGTGTCTGAGGCCAGATTTGAACTCAGGTCCTCCTAACTCTATCCACCAGCTCCTTCATTTTACAGGGGGAGTCTTGGTGTCAAGATTAATTCTTCAAGCCTTCTTTGAGTCATAAGGATAAAGAGACTGTCTTCAGTTGTTGTTGGGCTTATAATAAGAACCAAAATATAAAAAAATCCCTAACCCCTATAACTTAATTCTGGCTCAAGAGAAGGACACAGCAGAGACATGGCTGATTTTAACTTATCTTTTTCTTAGATTTATGGATAGCTCTATATGCTCAGAAAACATTTTTCTGAACTCTCTTTTTCACAAATGGGCAGGAAGAGCCAGCTGGAGTCTAGAGAATCTATTAGAAAGAGCCTATAGTAATAACCTGCCATGGCCTGTGGCAAAGGTTCCCAGCTTGATCTGTAACAATTACCTTCACGATCCCCAACCAATCAAATGCTAGCAAAGGCCATGGTATGTGGAACAGACAAATATACAATTTCTACATCAGATTCAAGAAAGAAACAGACATCTGGAGGGTGAAGGGTCTGTATGCTGTGTGTGTGTGTATACATTTGTCTGTCAAAAGAAGCAGGTGGAGAAAGAATCAATGTTCCACTACTGGTTCAAAAATTCCAAATTCAAACATTTCCCCCTCTTTTGCCTTCACCCTAGGTAGGTAGGAAAAGAAAGGCACTTTCACTAGCATTTGGCCCAAGCCACAATTTTCTGGGCAATTAGGTTTTTGCAAGACTGATATACAAGAGGCAGGTTTTGTTAAGTCAACCTCTCAAAAGTCTACCACCAATAACTTTACAGTATGTTTTATTTTAACGGAAGACATTAAATGTCATTTAAAATCTCTGTAATTCCTGTGCCAAAAATAACAGTAGTGCATCAGCTTTACTTCTGCTGTGGGAATGGGAAGAACTGAAAGGAAACAAAACTCTTTAATTAGGAAGAGACTGGGGCGGGAAGAACAGTCTAAAACCCACCTGGCTTTCAACAGTCTATGTTCACTATAGCTGGCAAGTTGTTTCAGTACTCTTGCCCAACTTCCTAGAGCTACAAGAGCTTGCCTGAAACATTTCAGCTAATTTTGAGAGGCCTCAGAACCCCCCAAGCAGCCATGGGATACCCAAGAGAACTGTAACTGCACAGGGTAATCAATTCAGAGATGGAAGGGACCCTGAGCATCATCTAAACCTGCTCATTTTACAGACAAGGAAGCCAAGGCCCGGGAAAGTCGAAAGGCGTAGTCAGTGGCAGGGCCAGAATCTCTGAGCCCCAGGGCTACACTCTTTCTTTCCACTGTCTGGCACTGCTTCCCCTGCTCAGCCCCCAACCCCCGATTCTTGCAGTTGGAAGAGAGGCAAAAGTGAAGTTCTACAACCAGCCTGACCAGAGATCTTAAGTTAGTACAGAAGGTGTGGAGTCAGTATATAACTGGGCTCACGGCTGACCTCCAACACCGACATCGTCTAATTTCTGGAAGCCTCAGCCTCCTCATGTGTGAAGTGAGTAACAGTATATACCCGCCTCACAGGCTGCTGGAAGGATCACACGAGGTATGGCACATCATTGGCTCTTCTTTCCAGCCATATCAGTGCATGCACTGCATAGAGCTTACAGGGAAGCTCTGCCTCCACTTACCAAGCTGCTGACAATGAGAGCAGAAGCTTTGTAAAAACAGCCCTGGAGGGCTCCTCACCCCTGCTGCCCACCACAATCCAGCAAGTCACAGCCCCACTGCTTGTTCTAAACACCCCAACACAGCAGAGAGGGTCAATGGCACTGTCAACTCGGAGAAATCTGTCACATTCTGACTGATGCCAGGGTAGACTACCTCCTTTTCAGCACAGACCGACCAGAAAAGCCAACTCCTTACAAACACAAGGCAGGTCTGAGTCACAATCATCAAAGCCGGGACGAGATGGGTTAGGGCCTCTAGTCCTTCCCTAAGAAGAAACTTTAACATCTCAAATTCTGCCCCAGCTCCCTCTTTCCTCAGTGAGGAGAAAGCTCATCCCACAAGGAGTTCAGATGCCACTAAGGAAAGATAAAGACCCAACTTCTGAGAAGGAAACCTAAAATTTCATTTCCCCTTCTCTCAAGTCAAATGAGGCCCATTCCATAAAAAGTAAATAAAAAGAAATGGCACAAAAATGGTTACAAAGGGGTAGCTACATGGCGCAGTGGATAGAGTACTTGTAGACCTGAGTTCAAATCCGGTCTCAGACCAGACACTTGACATTTACTAGCCGTGTGACCCTGGGCAAGTCACTTAACCCCAATTGACTCACCAAAATAAATGGTTACAAAAATCACTGGATCCTAGATTGAAAGCTATAAAAGGCCTTAGAAGTCATCCAGTCCAAGCCTCTCATTTTGCAGGTGTGAAAACTCAGTCTCAGAGAGTTTAAGCCACTTGCTCAAAGTCAGGAAGATATTAAGTGACCAAGGGGTGCCTCAAACCCTATGACATTTAGCTCTAGTCTTCTTGTCACTCTATCACACAGCCTTCCTCAAATGCACACAATGTGTGAACCTGTAATACAGAGACTTAACAGTCAGTTTCACTAAGCAGAGAAGTGAATAGCTCACCAATGGGGTTCTAGGAGATACTATTCTTTTCCTTTTCCTGAAGTATCAATCCTCATCCCCTTTTAAAAACTTTCTGTGGACAAGACTTCACCTTTAGTTCATTACTACCTACTCTGCCGCTCTTCACCAATTAAGAGAGCCCCTCCTACCAAACTTTTCCTAAAAAGCAAAGAAGACAATCATTGACATAGCTGGGTTTTATTTATTTCTTTGCTACTGTCCTTCACATGTCAGTTCTCCCAGGCCCCAATCCTCCTCAAAATCCCTTCTAATTTATCTACTGTTCTTTATTATAGACAGGCCCAGGCTTGACAATGTCTTTCCTCCCTCATCAGCTATCTCTTACACTTAAATGAAAAAAAAACTATCTAAAATACTCTTAAAAAAAGAAACAACCCAGGACAGTTAGCACCTCTTCTGCATAAGTCTACAAATACAAGGCACTAGAGGACGCTGCTGCACACTAGAAAAGTCTGATCAACCATAATGCCTTAATGCAGTCTCAATGCAGCGTGCTGCACAGTATAAAGTCCTGGATTAGGACCAGAACCTAGGCAGGGGTCAGAGGACTCACCACCTGTGGGACCTTACACAAGTCATATAACCTCACTTGGCTTCAGTGTTCTCATCTGTAAAATGAGGTGGTGAGATTAGATGAATTCTAAACATATCCTGTTTACAGGCCAACTGGAACTCGTTTTGGGAGGAAAAACCTGAGAACTTCTGAGTGCCTTGCTACAACCAACACCACAAATGGACATTTCTTTTCATGTGAGGCTTATTTAGAATATTTAGGAAAAAGTGAGTGAGCTGTTCTGGAATGAAAACCACAACTGCTGCTTCTGGGAACAGGAAAATACAATTACAACCCATTATTAACTAATGAAAGTTAACTAGAATAACATCTAAAGATAATGATGGAAATCTACCAAAGCAGAATGCCCAACAATGGACAGTTTGGCATAACAGAGTACAGAGACTTTTGTCCCTTTGGGGCTTACCTTTGTATTCAGGGGTGAACTCCTTCATTTCAGGGGGGAGAGACTCATAGAAACGTTGCTCCCGGGAAATGAGTGGCTTGCACACGGTGTGGTCATCATAGCGCATCATGCTGCTGTGACCACCCACCTGGTGGATGAAGGGCTCCAGGAGGACTCCTGGGTTTCCAGCTCGACTTGCATTCTTGCCATACTTCCCCACTTCCATGGTTTGACAAACACACATTGCGTTGGGGGCCAGTCGCACAATGAGGGCAAAGGGAGTAGCACATGGGCCACAAGAGAAGAGTACGATGGAAGACCCTGGCTAGTTGAAAGCCAATGTTTTGAGTCTGCTTGCCTTAATAGTTCCTGTTAAAAAACAACAAAAAAACAAAAAAAAAGAGGGGTGAAGGAGAATGGGAGTGGAGATAATAAATTTTTTTTTAAAAAATGAAGTTAGAACAAGGAAAAGTAGATATATATCAAATCTCTCTGAAATTTTAGTCTCTATTGTACCCAATAAACAATAAATTTATCAGGCTCTCTTGTTCCTCATACTCTTGTAAGTTCTCCTAGACATCCTCTAACCTAAAAGCCTAATTGTTAAGGCTCTTTAAAAAATGATACACCTCCCCTATACCTATCAACTTTATATCTCATGTTTCAGATATAAGGACAGCTTAACCACAGAACAGCTTATATTTATCATGTATGACTCATTCCTGTGCCTATTCAAAGTCATCTCAATCATAACTCAGAGGAAGGACCTTCAGTTGGACTGAAAAATAGGACTGTAAGCCCTATTTAAAAATCACTAGCTTTCCAACCCTCTTACCAAGGACCAGTAGCATCTTGGGATGCAAAAATGATTCACTATTTTCAAGAGAAACTCAGATTTCCTCCTAGATTTGCCTCACCTAAAGTTATTGCTACTTTTCTCAATCATACAACAAACCAGCCTGATAGCTTTCCCTCACTGGCTAATTTCATGGTGGAAGAAGAAAGGAAATGAGGGTTAGGGAGTTCCTTAGCAAATAAGAAGGCCCTTTTATAATTCCCTAGTATGACCTTTCAAGTAAATGTTATCTCAAGAAAATTCAAGTGGTTCACAAAGCTATGAATCAGGAAAGCAGCAGGTATGCTATCACTGAAACAAAGAGGAGAAAATGGAAATAAAAAACTATAGAGTGATGATATAATTCTTAGGATACCCAAGAAACTATGCAGACTGTGTCATGGTAAACAAAAGGAGGATGTTATCACTGCTACTCTTCTAGGTTGCCTAAGCTCATTGTGAGACTGGGCAAATTCTCCAAGTTCTCTCCATACACAAAATGCTAACAACACCTTGACTTCAGGGAGATGGGAGAAACTAATGAGACAACACAACTGAAAGTGCCCTGACTTTTTTGAGGAAAAGAGGTACAAATGAAATGTTCTTTAATACCTACACACTTCTTCCCAACTCCCTCATTAATTACAGTGCCCCCCCAGCTAGAGCAACTTGGTTATGAAGTTTGGAAATACAACCCACTAGCAAAGCAGGTTTTATATTGCCTCTAGACACACACCCTCTTTCTCTACTAAATGACCCCAGACGCCAGAGGCCAGAGAGGATATATAAGGATCCAAAAAGAATTGCTGTAATGTGAAAATATGTTTAATGGGTATGTAAATGTAAAGCCTATGTCAGATTGTGTGCCGTCTTGGGGAGGGTGGGGGGGAGAAAAAGGGAGAAAAAATTTTCAACACAAAAGCATATGGCAAAATGAATTGCTGAATAAAGGAGATGCTCTCCTTAAGTAATATTCTTTCCCTCTCAAATAATTTTCCCTAAGGTTGCCTACTACATGATATAGTGTAAAGAACCTGGGAATCATAATACCTAGATTTGAGAGTCCCAGTTATTTGGGTAAATTAACTAAATTTCTATAGTTTTCAATTTCCTTATCTGCTACACGCAAATAATTTTACCACTTGCAAAGAGTTGTTTTAAGTAAAGTGCTTTGTAAAGTGTAAAGTGCTACAGAAATTAGTTTGTCATCATTAATAGCAATAAAGGCTGGGTTTTAGGCTTTAATTTAATAAAAAGCAAACATGAGTTACTATAAGTTCTCAAGCACTGGGAAAAAGGAAAAAAGACTTAAAAGGACAGGACTCATGAACGGAATATAGCTATGGAAGGGTATTTGGAAGAAACAGATTTGACAGAAGGGAGAGCACAGAATAAGAAGCAAAAAAGGAAGGAGAAAAGAGCTGATATACTGAGCTGTCCTACAGACTAACTAGCTAGCTAGGTGAAGGATATGAAGACTGTGGATGTGAATGTATGTGATGCTTTCATACTACAGATTGCAAATTCAGAGAGGGAAGACAGAGTAGTGAGTCTGATACACTCAAATGGATCTGTTGGAAGTTCACTTCAGTGATGCAGATCACAACTTGTCTAGGCCTACCCCTCCCTCCTGTGAGACTCTTGCCCGGGTCCTGCCACCACATTCCACACAGGAGATCTGCCCAACCTGCTGAAGGGCTTCTTCCATTTCTCCTGACATCGCAAAGGCACTAGTGTAGTTCTGGCTGTTGACACGTCATCCTTCCCCCTTACTATCTGACCAGTCTATCTTCTTTCCTTATCATACAATTCCTTGATGACATCTTTTTCTCCTGTTCTTTCAAGTTCCTCATGCTGCAGCCTGAACATACTGTTCCTGTGTTATCCTTTAAAACTTTTTGGAGCTGTTGTATTTCATGTTTTGCTGCTATATAAAAAGTAAGACCAGTGGGATACTGGTGTTTTTAAATGTGCCTTTGCTTTCATGGTAAGCTTGAGATCATGAATGGAACAATTTCAATTTCCTAGAGACATACAATCTGCTCTTCTTTTCTTGTGTAACTCTAGGTCTGACCTCTTAATCTGACCTCTTAATCTGTACTGTCTGTTGAGATACACAAAGTAACAGCTCTATAGTTGCCCATCAAAACATGTTGTAATGTCAGCAATGGCTGTCCATGTACTTGGTCTCTCCTTTATGAATGGAGAGGTGCAAACTTTTTTGAGTGATTACAGGTGTCTTGCAAGAGGCAGCTCTGCAGTGTTCTGGGGCCTGATGAAATTGGCACAACGTCAAATACATATAGGAAGAGGATGACCATTTCCTGGCTTTTCTTTTTCAGCTTGGACTCTATGGTAGATCTCTTCCATCATAATGGCAAGCACTTGTGACAACAATACATCTTGTTCTACATTTCCATATTAGAGCTAATATTTTTTAATCAGAGGGTCACTGATAGTATTATTTCTTTTGCTTCATATTTTAAAAAGAATCTACATGGTAGCATTTTGCTCTAAAAAAAAAATCAAGTGCATTTTCATCATCAAGAAACAAGCACAGTATGACCTTCTTTACATCTTTCAGTCTACTGTGAAATGGAAAAGACTTGGCCATTGTTGAATATTGCTTGTTGAATGTATACTGCTCCTCCAAATCCCTTTCTGAGGATCCCCTTGATTCATGTGTAGATATATGCCTCTTGTGAAGATTCTGTACTAATGAGATGGAAGACATACTGACTGATAGTCACTGGTGCTCTCAGTTACCTTGTAGGTTGCTCCCACAACACCCTCACAATTATTGTCAGCTCCAGCACAGATCTTCTCCATAAACACTTGGTCCAACATCTGGCTCCCCGTCCTTTCTTTGCTTTCTTTAGTACCAATTCTATCTTTCTAATAAGCACATCAATATTTCGGTCAAACACTCACAGATGAGGAAACTCTAATGCTGCAGGTGAGGGATCTATCTCTATTCACCCTACCTCTTTATCAAACAGTACTGCTCATGATTGTTCATCAGCCTTCATAAGAGTCTAAACAAAATTTTACATTCATAAAAATTTAAATTCTAACCTAATGTTGCCTTTGGCAGCCTTTTTTTTTCTATTTGGTGAGTAAATTAAGCTGTTTGTAATACAGTCCCTGCACAAAGTAGGAGCAATAAATATCTGTTTATTGACTATGGCTATTTTCTGTTGTGGCAATTAAATTGCACTGGTTAGACTTCTTTAAAAATTATTATAATCAGCATTAATGTCATTTCTGTATACCATTTTCCATTTAACTGCCAATTCCTAATTTAAATAGTTCAGGACTGAGAAAGGAGAGAGAAAAGCATAAATGGGGGAAAACAGGATGGAGAAAAAGACACAGACAGTAATCACAACTGTGAATGTGAATGGGATGAACTCTCCCATAAAACAGAAGTGGGTAGCAGAGAGGATTAAAAACCATAATCCTATAGTAAGTTCTTTATAAGAAACACCTGAAGTAGAGGAATACACACAGAGTAAAGGTAAAAGGCTGGAGCAGAACATATTATACTTTAGCTGAAGTTAAAAAAAAAGCAGGGGTAAATAGTTCAGGACTGATTATTTCAACTATATACCATCTTTTTCCCATTCCTTTTTCTTCTTGTGCTTCATTATTTCTAATCCTAGCTATGACAAATCATGGTTTGACTCTACACATACAGCTGATTCTTGGATAACTCCTACATCTATAATAATATATCTTTTCCTATCTATTAAAATACAATCTATTTTGTTTTCTGCAATGTTAGTTGGTACTCACCATGTCCAGTGTCTACCAATTCCTTAAAGTGTTCATAATATACAGTCTCAAAGCTTCAGGGTCAAATACAAGTCTGTGGCCTCTTATTTTTTCTTCCTGAACTATGCTTTTCTATTTATTTCACCCCATTCTCACCTTTCCTACCTTTCCAGTCCAAAAAAAAAAAAAACAACAACTATCAGAGTATATATTGACTTAATTTGGAAGGTCTAATTAAGTACTTCATAGAATTTCTTTAGTTCTTTTATCTTCAACAACCAATGTTAGTATATAAGAGGCAATTATTTTCATGGTAGCCTCTTTGCAAAATTTATCGTTAATACCGCAACACTCAATGACCAAACATATCAGGAAATGTTTCTTGACATCTTTGGGTAGATGGTAAAATCCATCCCATCAACACTTTTCTTTGCCTCTTCTAGGACACCTGTGAGTCATCCTTCCATTTATCTACAACTTTCTTCTCTCTTTTGATTTAGTATCTTGTTAGTCAACATCAAGATCGACATATGATTCAGTTCCTCCAGCTTTACGTCCACTTACTGGGGCAGCTAAGTGGTGCAATGGATGGGACGCCAGGGCTCAGATATTTACTAGTTATGTGACCCTGGACAAGTCACTTAACCCTGTTTTGCCTCAGTTTCCTCATCTGTAAAATGAGCTGGAGAAGGAAGTAGCAAACCACTCCAGTATCTCTGCCAAGAAAACCCCAAATGAGCTCACAAAAAGTTGGAAAGGA